TGATTCTGGTGGCTTAAAAGCCCAGACAATCTGGTGCCAGTATCTATAGGCCAGGCTGCATCAACATGGCCAAGAAGCAGAAAGGAAAATGGCCACGTGTGGAAGGGGCCAAGCATGTGAGGTGATCTTGCTTCATAACAAACTACTCTTGTAAGAATTAATCTAGTCCTGGGAGAACTACACTGATCTCCTCTGAGGATAGATCCCCCCACCCCCATCCACCTTCCACCAGGCCCCATCTCTTAAAGTTCTACCACATCTCACGACTGTTACGTTGGGGACCAAGCTTCCAGCTCATGAGCCTTAAACCATCTCCAACTCATAGCAGGCAGACATGTGGGAAAGAAGAGGACATTTCAGAATCTTGGAACTGGAAACACTGGGGAGTAAGAATAGAACTGCAGCTGATGCAGTTGGTAGAGAAATAATGACTATTGTAACTACAGTAGCAGAATGCTAGCTAAGGAGCCTAGTATCCACAACTAAGTTACCCCAATTCAAAGATCAGCCTTTTTTCTCTAGCCATGTGGCCCTGGGATAATTTCTAAACATAAGAAACTGTTTCATCAACTATAAATAAAGGGACTTATTATAATGCCTGTCTCAAAAATTTGTCTTGAGAATTAAATAAAAATGTGTTAGCTATTATAAGGATATTGGTGTGGGCAGTGGCAGAAGGGCCATTTTTAAAAGACCTTGCACCGTGAAATGGGCAGACTTTGGGGGCTGTTTGAATACGTGAATAGCAAGAATCAGGCAAAAGAAGAATCATTGACTTCATATTCCCTAGCCCCCAAGAGATTCATGCACACATGTATACTCCCTAATGTAACCAATCTATCCTCAAAAGATAATAAAAAATCAAGGAGGATACACGTTTGGAGAAAAAAAACAGCAATTTTATCTTCAATAGGATACATTTGAAATGCGTGAATACAGGCCAGTATGAAAAGAACCACATAGAAGTTGAACATTTGGGTCTTGAATTCTAGAGATGGCAGAACTAGGATACAGTTTTAAGGGTCATTCATATGGATGCAATAATTAAATCAGTAGTCAAATAAAAACCACAAGTGCAAAAGTTCAGAAAACAGACAAAAGAAATAAAAACTAAAATCCCCAAACTGGTAAAGACTTCGGGAACACACTGGAGATCATTTAGGGGGAAAAGGGAGGAAGAAACACTAGTGAATAAAGGAGGCTGGGGGGTGTTTGAATGAAGGTAAGGAATTTAGACATGGAGATGTAATGGAAGCCCATGGTTTCTAAGGAGACCATTCCTCAGCATCAAACACAAAGTTCAAATAGAAGAGGCCCGGGCAGCGGTGACTCATCTGGGTATTAGGAAGTAATTTAAGATGCAGGGGCAATTCTGGGGAGTTATGATCTAAATGAAAATCTGGCAGTTGTCTGTATACAAGTAAGAATCCTAGACAAGTGAAATTAACAGAAGGAGACAAGAGGGAGAGCATTAAGGGAGAGTAAAGAATCTTGGGAAGTAATCTTGATTATATACAAGAAGGTAAAGAAGCCTCCAAACTATGAAAAAGCTACCAGGAAGTCACCAGTACTCTTTGAGAACCAGAAAATGGAATGGTTCATTTTAAGTTATGTATTTGTGAATTAGAAACCCTGTGAGTACCTATATAATTTGTGTGAAAGATCCCCTTCCATATGGGAAGCTCGATCTCTTGGGAACTGAATTATCAGCTCTACCATCTGATGCAATAAACAAAAGCTATGTGATTAAATTACATCAGGGTAATTTGCACCCGTGTGCAAAAATCAGAGCCGGGTGGGCTCAGATCCAGTTGAGAACCACAAGTCTCATTAGATATCCTGGCCTCAAAAATGCTCAGCTAGATGCTAAATGAAAAGCTAGACACATGCTTCCCACCAAGCATAAATTCCATGTACACTCTGAGGCCCATAACCTCAGAGTTAATACATTAGTCTAACACACTTCCTGAGGAACGCCATTCTATCATAAAACTGCTCTGGGAGAAATGCCTGGGAATTTTGGATATACAATCTGAACATTTTCTTTCTGTTCAAAGGCAAGATATTAAATTTATCATTTCAGGAAAGTCTCTGAGGCCACTGCAAAGTTTTGGCATGGCTGGTGTTACCCCTCTACTTGTTCCAACCAATGTCTTTCTCATATGCATGTTTATTGGTAAGGAGTGGGCAGCTGGGAGTTCTGGCCCAGGCTGACTCTAGAGGCTGGCAAGTGAAGTCTAATGACATCAGGGACAGGGCTGCAGTGACTGACGCATGCAAGCGGTTACTGTGGAATTCCTTCAGGCCACACTTACATTGCAAACATACGGAGGACATAGCTCCCCTAAACCCAGCATGCAGCTTGGTTTACTGTGACAACTGATCCTAGCTCTGTTCTTTACCATGAACAATGGGGTTTTGGAGCTGGGCTACAAATAAGGCTCAACAAAACTTCCTGTAGTTTCATAGCAATGCAGACACATTCATCAGAAAAGGAAAAAGAATTCTAACTTCCAGAACCAAAAGGTGAGGCCCAAGGAATTCCATGTCTTTAAGTTTAAAGAATCTGTAAAGAGGGGTCAAATTACAAACTAAAGGCATGATCGCATCTAGCTGGTTTCTATTTTTTCATTTCTAAATAGTCTTATTGAGACAGAAAAGCTTTTCTGTTGTATTGGATGGTGAACATTTGTCATCCCCTCATTTGAGGACAATGGTTGACTTTCTTATACAAACAACTGGTGTCTAACGTAGGCTGTGGATAACCTAGAAAGTGATCGTTGTCATCTCATCTACAAACAAAAACAGATCCACTTGCTGAAACCCTTAGCAAAAGTTGTGCATTTTAAGAGGCTTTGTGCATATGGTTAATATTTGATGCTTCTAGTCCTCACAGCAGGTCCTTATGTAGGCACCACATCTGCTTAAGAGTTAAAACAGGTGTCCTCCCAGCCATAAACAAGATTCTCAAAGGCAATTATGGGGCGCCTGTCTGGGAATGGCTCTACGTAACAGAAACAACTCCAAGCATAACGGAACTCCAGTTCAAAGGCCCAGCATATTGAAAAAAAAAAAGATATCCAAAGGGGAAAAGACTCCTACGAATGTCAAAAAAGAGTAATAAAAGGCACAGTGTCTTATAGTATTTATCCATGCTTCATGATTGGCATGACACAATCTGTCTTCATGTAGCTCTGGTTTATAGTTGAAGTAGAACTGGTTAAAAGTGAACCTCAAAATTCTAGATTTTCCAAAGTAGCAACACAGACTTCAGTTCTACTCACACACCATTTTAGACATAAAAAAGCATTTGAGGATATAAGCGGCCTTTTTCTCCAAAAACGTAGACCCTGGTTCCACATGTCCCTACTCACGTTCCAATCCAGAATTACACAGAAAATTCTTCCAGGAATTTCAACTGAACCTCCTGACTTGTTTCTTGGTCTTGAACTCACATACCCTTTGTAGGAGATACAACTGTGGCTCCCCAATAATATCTGTACCCTAACTCCCTGCACTTGTAGTTATATTGGGGTACTTGGGAAAGAGAGGTTTAAAGATGTTAATCAGCTAACTTGAAAATAGGGAGATTTTTCTGGACTACTGTGTAGGCCCACTGTTATCACAAATGTCTTGAAAAGCAGACAACAGGTTAGAGATAGGACGATGGAAACTGGGTCAAAGTGATGCTATTTTGTTAGGTTTGAACACGGAGAAAGGGGATTACAAATCGATGTGGATGACTGCTAGAAGACATAGGGGGGAAAAATGAAAATAGATTCTCTCTAGACCCTCCAGAAAAGCCTTGCTAGTGACCCCTTTTATTGGCTAGCAAAACTCATGTCAGTCTAAAAACTCTAGAACCACAAGATCATAAATTTGCAGTGTTTTAAGCCACTATATTTGTCATAATTTGTTCTAGTGGCAATAGGAAACCAACAAGCATTATCAGGAGACAGACAGCACACCTCACTCAGGAACAATACTCCAACTCCAGGAAAGAATCATGCCTGAGTTTCTTTGGTAGTAATTTTTTTTTCCTTTCTAGTTACCCTTCAACATTCAACTAAGGGCTAATCCATAGAAAAGATGATATGAAATGGTGCAGTGCCATCTAAATGTGTGTATGTGCAGGGGGGCAGGTTATGGGGTGTGCAGCTGAGAACCAAATCTTTTATTTTCCCCTCCCATTTTTACTTCAGAGGAATGTAACATTATTGTTAGAAATTCAATCCATTTCTGGTGGAACTACATGAATATGATCTTAAAATTTTCTTTTTTTAGTTTCCTTTTTCTTTTTCCTTTAAGACACCCCTGTGTACTGTGAATATTTGTTTGATCTCCTGAGATGATCTAAATCTAGAGGATTTTTAGCTCTTAAATCACACAGATGTTTGTGCTTGCCCACAACATGGTTCACAGAAGATCTGCTAATATTAAATACAGTACAACAGCAAACAGTCCTGGATTAGAAGGTGAAAAATGGAAAGAGAACGTGAGGAACTTGGAAGACACACTCTGAGAACATAAATAGTTGTCCATGTAACATGTGCATTCTTTGTATGTGAATTTTATGTTGGAGGAAAAAATTTCAAGGGATCCTCTAAGTTAGTGTATTAAGAGAAGATTTTCAGCATATTCTTGGAATGAGGCTTTTTCTAAGCTCTAGGCTTAGGGGTTGGAAGGGTGTAGCTCAGTGATATAGAACTTGCCTAGCAGATGGGAGACCCTGGGTTCAAACCCCACCTTGCCCAAGATAAAAATAAAATATAAACTCCATGCTTAGAGGTGAGGTGAATTAGGGTATATAACACTCCCATTTCAATCTGGTTGCCCCAAATGACGAGGCTATCTTATTTTTCTACTATGGAACAAACAATGAGTCACCAGAGGAGAACCCATAAAACCAGGTGGTGGGGTGTGACTATGAGAAGCAGGAACAAGAAGAAGAGATGGTTGGACCCACCAAGAAAAGTTAAAAATAGAACAGTGCCGCTTACCCTCAGGTCTCCATTCACAGTTTTTGGTGTGTGACTGAATGCGTGTGAAGGATCCTTGTTGTACACTTTGAGGAGGGATCTGTCTTGAATGTTCCTGGAATCAAAAACATCAAAAACTATGGCAGATGAAAGAAGCCTGACTCTGGCCATTTCCTCTGGAGGATCAGGTAAAAGCCATGAACAGACAATCTGGCAGTGTCTACCAGAAACCACACAAAAAGTTCTTTCACCATAAAATAGGCAAATATAAATAAGGAAAAGAAGAAAAACGACTTCAGCTCTTCTTTCTTTGTCTCGTTCCTCGGGCAAGTATTATTCTTTCAGTGTAGCTCTCCACCCATAAATATCAGGTAACAAGAACTTTCTTTCAAGATTCGGAGGGTGGAAAACTAACGCTTTCAAAAACAATAAAATTCCAACGTTTACAATATGTTCAAAGAGATTCGGTTAATATTTAAATATTTAATCATTTACTTTGCTCAAACACCTGGTTTGCTGCTTATCTAATGAATGCGCGCACACACACACACACACATACACACACACACAAATGCCTTTTTTCTTTTTCTTTTCTTTTTGTCTCCAAACATGTTCAGCAAAGAAAATAAAATGTTATATGCAGTTTTAAAAAAATACCCAAATTAATTAAATTAATATCTTTACAGTGCATTTGTTTCTTCCACAGTGGGTTTTAAAATGTACTTTCCTACATACAAATTGAATCATAGGCCATAAAGGAATAGAAGCAGATAAATTCTTCTCTCCTTCTAAACCTATCACTTACAGCCAATGAGTCATCCCACAAGCAAAAGACAGATATCCCATACCTTGCTTGGTGCCTACCTTAAAGTTATTTAAGAGCACATGAATGTCTACGAAGTCCTTGTTTCGCACTGTAAAGCCTTGGAAGGGCCATCCAAAGTCCCTTCATCCCTGTCTACCCTGTGATTCCACTCCAGTGATGGCTGGGGCAAACTCAGAAAAATGTGTACAGGAGGACAAATACCTTCTCCCAGGTGCAGCAATGCATTTAATGGGCTGATTGCAATCACTGGGATTACTGGGTTATGTTTTGGTTTTAAGTGAAGTAGAGGATTCTTTGACTGGTCCTGTTCTTCTTCTTTAAATACCTGCCAGTCATTACTTTGAAGCAAGGACTAGTCCAAGCTTGCACACTTGTTCCATGTTTCAAGGAGCTCGTTAGAAGTCTGCTGAGGGGAGCATACAACCCTTGTTATTAAAAGGGGCTCAGTTAATGAGAAGGGGAATGTCGCAGAGGCAAGGCCTTGGGCATTCACTAAAGGAACCCACCCTCTGGCTAGAGGCAGAAGTCATGTGTGACGATGTGGAGAAACTGCAAACCTCACTGGTGAGAAAGACTTACTGCAACTGTAAAGGTATTCTGAAAATACATGAGCTTGGTTTATGATTAATTTAGAAACATGTTCATCTGAGATGAACCAACAGTAAAAGGCCAGATTGCATTTATGGTGGTGACATTTACAACACAGTATTCTGACCTGAACTCCGCAGCATTTTCCCGAAGGAAAATACACAGAACCCAACACATAATGAAATAAGCCAAATGGTGAGAAAATATACTCTTGCTTCAAAAATACTCAGGAGGTGACACGAAGTTTGCCTTGAGTTTAGATTAAAGCCATTGTCTTCAGTTAGAGCCTATGTGATACTTTTTTTTTTTTGGTCTTAAAATATTGCTTGTGGTGAAAATTTCTTCTACCATTCAAACGAAATAGAAATGAACCATCTTTTATATTTAAAAGAGAGAGAGAGAGAGAGTGATTCTCAGGAAGGATATATATGTGATCATTTAGCATAAATATTATATTCATCATCCAACAAAAGTATTTTCCCTGCTTGAACACTTTTAGGTCTTTTTAAATATTTAAATCAAAGAAACTGGAGAAGTAAAATTATAGAAAATTTACAAATCAATGACTTTCCACTTAAGCTTTTTAAATGAGATTTTAAAAAATCAGGCTATCAGTACTGCAGCTTAAAGATCAAAAAGATCATCATTTTTTCGATCAAAAAATGTAAGCATCACTGGGAATGATAGTGTTTAAAGTGACTGCCCTTCAAGTGCTACTTTCACTAATCTTACCAAATGGATTTGTAAGGAGGACCATGACTTGTTTCCTCCTAGTCCTCCTCGAATTTCTCTTTGTTAACTGCTTTCCAACATTCCCAAATAATGCAAAAAGGAACCAAATGAACCACATTTTGAGTCTTGGGAAAGGCTTTAGGAAGCAGACTTATGCAGTCCTCCCATAGGCTGCAAGACAGTGAGCTCCAATTGTCTACAACCCTCTCCTCAGCCCTGAGCTCCAAAATCAAGAGTGCTTAGTTTCATACCTACTTCCTATTGCAGCATCCCTCCATGCTTCTAAGTGCGGAAATACGATTGTTATAAAATGTCATGTCCATGTAAAAATACTACATGGGATTATATTATTGCAAACAGTCTTCAAACATAATGTGATTATTTCAGGTTTAAGTTTATGCTTTGTAAATTAAAAAAAAAAAGTTTTGGTGATAGCTTGGCTAATAATTTATATCAAAAACAAGCATGAATGTTCTGGTACTCATGAATATTTAAACTGTTTTTAAGAAGCAGGAAGGTTGTGTAATAGGTAGCACCTATACCTTAGGGCATGTGTCAAACTTTGAAAGCCCTAAATTACTCATTCATCTTGGCACAATACTAAATATGTCATTTGTGATCATTGTTAGATATTTATCGGTTTACATTTACTGTCCTCTAAAGGCATATTTTAAAAAGTGGTACTCGTTATTTCCAAGATAACAAAACAGGAGAGCTTGCTATCACCACGGGGCAAGGATCCAGAAACCCCAGTTCTGCCCTTGATGATCTGAGAATGTCCTCAGCCAGGTTTGGGGTGGGGCTTAGTGCTTAATTGGCTGTGTGCTCTTGAATAAGAACCTTAACTTTGATGTTATCTGAGATTCTGGTTTCATAAAATGAAAGGGCCAGATTATCCACTAAATAATCTCTTGAGTTCTAAAATAAGTAAAGGCCACCACATTAGTGATTTAAGTCCTGTTTCTCAGGTTATTTGAATAGAATAGTTCAAAAGGGTCCCTTCTGTAACCACCACTACAGCCAATAGGATACTTCTGTTTTTTTGCCATTTACAATACCATGAGTCTACATAGTCTAGTTTTAGAGTACATCCATCTGGGTGTCCTGGAGAAAGCCCTCCTGAAAAGTGAGACTCTTAGGTAAAGGACACTCTCAAAGAAACAAATGGAAAGTGAGAATGCTTTTCAGTCTCATTTCTTTTAGGCAATAAAGATGAGTCCATTGCTTGTATTCTAACTTGTTAGGTATAAATAATGACCCAGTAGGATCACTACCCCAAACAGACACAGTCTTTGTCTACAGGGGAAAGAGCACTTGAGAGGGAGTTTGGAAATTTCTAGTCCTGAGTACTGCTTTCAATTCTCACCAAGTTTCTCCACCAACTCTCTGGGCCTTGGTTTTCCTGACTTTGAGATGAAATGGTGGGCTGGATCATTTCTAATGTTCTTTTCTGGTTTATGACATTGAAAGATCTGATGTCATATTCAAAGATCCATGCAAAAGTCTTTTGCCTCCATCTTTATAAACTATGCCTTGCAAATGAACTGTGGAAAGCCAGAGAGTGAATTCACACCTGGGTGAATAATCCTGCCAATCATGATAATGGCTGTGCTTTCTTCACTGGGATGAGATAAAAGACCCTCTAAATACCATATGGTAGAGAGAAACAAACCATAAATACAACACATGGAGGAAGCACCCCCCCCCAAAAAAAAAAAAACAAAACCCAATGACGTGACTACTTACCTTACATCATTTAATTCATAATAGACATTTCTGCTTTCATCTTTGATGTAAATGGCGACACTGGGCGACTCCAGCATTTTCATGGTGAGCTGCTGTGGAAAGGCACTTACAAAGAGAGCACGGATCGTGTCTGCACTTGTGATTTCATTCGGCATCCTGAGCTGCTTGGTTTCATCTCCGTACTGGAGATAGAGAACCCCTGCATGCAAAAAAGAGCATGGTTATTAGTCCGACTCAGAGGACTTGAAGCACAAGGTAAGCTGTGTCTGTCCTACTGCACTTACAGATGTTCTTGACAAACTTGAAAAGCATGTGACAAGGAATATATGTTTGGAATTTCCAAGGAATGCACTATCTGGTTATCACATAAGCATCCTGCTTTTATTCTCCGGAGTCCAGGCAGGTAGGTATTAAAGAGGCTAATTAACCACTGTTTTAAAACCAAAAAGATAAGGAACTGACCTCGGCTAGCCTAAGGTGAAAGGTAGCATTTAATTCCTTTGGAAGGTATACTTAGGACCTAATCCCTTAGGGTTATTTTTTCCATGTCTTTCATTAACCAGGAACATAATCATTATAGCAAAGGGTAAGCTACAGAGCTTAAGTCTTTGTAGTCCATTCAGAAACATTTTTAGTGGAAATGCAACCATATTTCTGTGGTTTTAATTCATACCTACTGTATATTTATACCATCTTAAGTTAGCTTCAGGAAAAGAGTTGGACACAGAAACATTACATAAATAAAATGGGAAAAAGTCCATTACACAAAGAAAAACACAAGACTGAATCACAGAATGATAGAATTCCAAGGGGTATGTGGTCCCCAGTGAACCACATTTCTCAGATTTTATTCCCCTATAGAGTGTAGTCACTTTCCACGTTGATTGTGGGCTTGGCCCTGTGACTTGCTTTGGCCATGGGAACATTATTAGCAGGTGTGATGCAGAATGAAAACTTGATATGTGTTTGTACACTGGAGGTTTTCCTCTAGGTGAGCTGCACCTTGGGATCCGCTTCCAGGAGTTCAACCAAGGCACACAGGCGGGAGGCCACACAAAGAACCAAAGTCTTCCTGGCTCCAGTTATGCACTCATTCTATAGCCAGATCTACTGACTGGTCATGTGAATGAGCTATCCCAGCGGATGCCACATGGAACAGAAATGAGATTTTCCCTCCTAACGCTGCTCAAATTGCAGAATCATAAACAAATAAATAACTGCCATCGTTCCAAGTCACTATGTTTTATGGTCATTTGTTATTCAGAAACACATCACTGAAATAGGATATCTAAGACCCTAACACTGAATGTGAATCTTTGTGAGACCCTACGGAGGGTGGACCACCACTTCACTAAGCCTTAACAGGAGAGACTAATAAGAGAATAGAGCGACATCTAGAAAAAAATGGCAGTTCTTGAGACAAATTTATTACTTACTTCAGAAATTCCATTTAAAATGGCAATGAGGAATCAAAAAGACATGAATCCACAATGACAAAGATGAGAGAAAAAATGGCTGTGTGCTCTTGAATAAGACCCTTAACTTTGATGATCATAGCAGATGAGACAAAGTTGACACCTACATCTTTAAGGGAAGAACTTGACCTACAACATCCAGGGCCACAGAAATCCAGGAAAGGAGAGGAAGGAACAGTGAGTTGAACGCATGAGGCCTGGTTGAAGTCTTTTCTTCCCCAGTGTGTGGCAAGATGTCCACCTCTCCCTTTCCGAACTACTCAGCCAAGGAATTCCTCAGTGCACTCACATCAGAAGACTGAAGAGCTCCATCCAAAGACTGGATTCAGGATGCCCAGGCCCAGGGGAGAATGCTAGCCAAGGGGCTCAATCCCCAGTCAGGAAACTGAAGGATCCCCCTAGAACACTGAGTTGCTGGAAGAAGGTGACCAACAGATTTTTGAGCGTGATATTTAGATGTCGTCTGGTCATGGGATATGTGGAGTGTCATGTATAAAATTTGCAGCTGGTATGACCATGTCTCCACCATACATTTAGACTCACAGGATTCACAGGTATTTATCAACGGCTGTACCTTGAAAGTAATGACCAAAGTAAACAGGAAACAGAAACTCTGCAGAGGCGAGGCAGTTCAGGCACAGGGGAACACTTGGAGAACCACACAGCAGAAATAAAAATTCGGTGAAGAAGAAAAAGTTGATGGAATCTTAGAAAGTAGAGCAAACAGAACTAAGGGATGAGAAAGGGAGAAGCACAATAATAAGAAAAATAGAGAATGACATCAGAGCACCATAGTCTTAATAAAAGGGCTTTGGGTAAGATATCAGGAAAAAGAGAATTTCCCCCCAAAAATAATCCAAGAATTTTCTTTTTCTTTTTCTTTTTTTCTCTCACAAACTGAAGTACAAGACGGAAGATTTAAAGCATTCATGAAATGCTCTAACATGCATTTAGGCTTGTCACTGAGACATTGGAGATGACAAGAAAAAGCAGAGGGCTGTAAAATCTCCCAAAGGCGGGGACAAAGTCACTTAGGAGGCACTGGTATCAGAAAAGTGGTAGCTTTCTGAACAGCAACCAGGAACCAAGACAATAGCAACACCTTTGAGAATCTGAGGTAAATATATAATTTACATTTTAATTATTTATGTTGTTTACTGTTAGTTTTTCTTCCTAGAATATAAATTTCATGAGATCAGAGATTTAAAAAAAACCACATTTTTGTTGTTGTTGTCGTCCTTTGTACCTACGATAGTACCTTTCAGGTAGTAAGTTTTTTAATATTTGTTGAGTGAATGAATAAATTATCTGTTATCCAAAGAGGATGTCACATGCAGTCTGTGTGAGCTGTAAGAGCTTTTGTAAGGTGATGTCCACAGCCAAACAGCTTTGCCTCTGGTTGGTATTCTCATTAGGAATACATTCTGAAGTGGCAATTTCTTTGACCAGCGTAATCCTCTTGTGTCGGGCAGGCATAAGCAGCTCCATTCCCCTCAGCTTCCTCAGGGAAGGAGTTCTCTAGAATTTCCACATGGTTCCACGTTCCTCGGAGTATAGAGTAAATCTTTCGAGCCTGCCTAAATCACAGGTTGTGCAATGTTTTGCCCCAAATGGGAGGTGTGGCCACTCTCCCAGGCGATTGCTAATGCTATATCAAAAGGCCAAAACCGCCCTTGAGGTCTGGGCCCCACTAGGCCTGGGGTGAGGCCACTGCAGATGAGCCACTTGTGGTCTCACTCCAGTTTCATGTCACAGCCTCACTCCCCCAAAGGGCCTGATTTTCATCCCCACATCTGCATTCTGTACGTGTGTGTGCTTGAAATAGAATTTGTAAGCTCTGGAGTGGGAAAAAAAAATGGGGGTCTAAACTCTAGTTACCTCAGGTCTGGCTGGCGCAGCTGCCAGCTGGGTACACATGTCCAGTTACAGAACGTGAAAATCCTGAAAATCCAGGGTGGATGGGAAAGATGCCTTTACAAACAGAGAAGAGCAGTCTTTTCACACTTGATTCAGGAAAGGTATTTAGAAATGCTTAAACTCAGAAGGAATTCTCTTAATATACAGTGGCGTTTTGTTGGCACAGTGATAAGCTAAAACCCGCATGGTTTCTAGAGATTCAGCATGTTTGGCACATCCTCTCTCCAAGTTAGTCCTGGCTGCTTCAGATTCAGAGGATGTCTGAGGGACTCTGGATCATAACCTCCCTTTTTATGAGGAAGGGAAGAGGACAAAGAAATGCTTTTTTAGGAGGCCTACTATATGTCAGATATAGGGTGCATTATTTCATTCCATCAGCATGGCACCTCATCAAGTTGTTGGTAAGACTAGTATTTCAGATAGGGAAATAGAAGCTCTGAGGGGCCAATCAAGCAACTTGCGTAAAAATTACAGCTACTTACTAAGAAATATATCCAATTCTGTCAATCCACAGAACCAGTACCTCTCCCTTGAGACATGTTGCTTCTGAAATTCTGCCTTTAGCCTTGTCCAATCCTTTCACTCAACCTGCCGGGACAACGTCAGCTGTCCTCACACTTAGACTGACCATGAGCTTGAAGATGCTGAGGCATGAGCAGGGCCGTTCAGGAAGCTATCTCCTGTGGGGAGTGGTGATGTGAATCAGGGTGTCTGATTATCTTGAGGTTGTGGTGCACTTGCACTGGGATTTCCCTGTACATGAGTGTAGGGTTAACATTCCCCAGTTGCTATGACACAGCGGCCCTTGGTCTCTCTGGGCAAACATCCAGAGATGTTAGTTTTAACCTTGAGTCACGGACACTGACTCCTAGGAATAGAAGATTCTGAACAGAGCAAGGTAACCATAATGGGTCACTTCAAGTCTACCTGCTTTCCAGAAACTTTCTCACAAATAAACTTTTGATGATAAAACCTATATAATAACCATGTGGAGCCAGCTCTGGGTCACTGTTCCTCCATCAGAGGACAGTACCCACCTGATCCCACCTTTCTCTCTAAATGTTTGTGTGTCTTTTCTTAATCCCCCTTTGCCCCTCACCAGTCTCTGAATTAACAGCCATTAAGGTGGCAGCGATCTCCTGTCTCTAACTTTACTGAAGAAAATGCCAACCCGTGGTTAAAAACAATCCACCCGCCAGGTGGAGTGGTGGGGCTCTGGGGCGACAGAGAGCTTGGAAAGCTGCATCAGGGTTCTGAATGAAGCTCACAGCACTTGGAGTCCTTCTGAGAAGCCTGGTCCTTCAGTGTCCTCCCACCCTGATGACTGCAAAGGCAGCGTGGATTTCAGCAAAAGCTCTAAGTCACACTTAAACAAAATGCAGCTGGCAGGCCCTTCAGGCTTGTGTCTATATATTTTTATTGCCTGGAATCTCAGAATTACTTCCACAGTGCAGGAAATCTTCTTTTTCTTAAGGTATCCAAGGAAATTCACAGTGTGGCCCCTCAATTTCCAGCCTTATGACCCCAGATCATCCCACCTTCCTTGGGTATCCTGCCATGAATATTTGCACCAGGGCTGTGCCCCTGACTGGTGATGGCCCTCTCACCACTTCTTTGCTTGACACGCACATCACACGTACCTCCTCTGCACGATCTTCATCAACCCCTCCTTCATCACTTTTCCATTATGAGTTAGAAAATTAATTTCCTCTCACATATGTGTTCACACTGTGTTTTGTTGAAATTGCCAGCACGGCTTTTAATTCTGCATTACAGTTAGTTGTATATGTGTCAGTTTCCCTCATTG